ACTTGAATAGACTTCGACCAGAGGTCCCATCCCACTGCACCAGTTGTCTTGAAGATTCTTGAGTTCCTGAGCTGGGGTTCACTTGCGATAAAGAGAGTAAAACATTTTTTCTTGCTTAAAATTACCATAAAAGGAAAAATTTTAACAAAACGGATGCGATCAGGAGAGAGTTTTTTTAGTAGTGATTAAAACATATTAATTTTGATTAAATAAATAGGTATTATAATTAAATTAGAAAATTCATATATATAGTATATGATTTTTTATAACATAATCATTTAATTTTTAATCAATTAAAGTTAAAATTGTTTTGGTTTTACATAATATATTAAATTTAGAGAATGAAATTAGTTAAATACAAGATATACAATATTTCAAAAATTGATTGATCAATATACTGTTATTTATTTGTTTATTTATTTATTTATGAATTTTAAGTTATAATTAAAAATTTTCTTTGTCAAAATTTTTTTATTATTTATAACAATACACATGTTTGTGCTAATTTTTATTTATTTTAATTTTAATAATAATTTTTTTTGGATGGTAGTGAATGGTTATTCTTAAATATTTTAGCAAGTTTTACTTTTACTTATGTCATACCGTATTTTCAGAATTTGTTAGGGGGGGTGATTATTAAGAATGAAAATATTATAAGGAAAAAAAAAAGTGTAAACAAGGATACATGTATACTTAGCGATAGTATGTGAATCGATAAATAATCAAAAGTTTGTTACGAACATTGTTTAAAATAACGAAAACCCAAATGAATATTTATTAACACGCATATAAGTAGATAGAATTCATTATTGAGGCATACATAAAAACCAATTTCATTAATAATAAAATTAAAACTTATATATACTGTACGTATATAACAACCATTAATTTTGCCTTTTGTTGAATGTCCTGCTTTCCTTTGCATGATATCCTATTTTTTCACAGTGGTAACACACTCCTTTTTGTTGTTGTGTTGACAATGATGATGTTGATGTGTTATATTTCTTTATCCTTGTTGTTATTGCTCCAATTGCCACAATTACAATTGGCTTTGTGAAAAAGTTGACCGTCGCACAGACCTGCCGTGTGATCATTTAATTTAACTCATCCCGGACCAAAGTTTGCCGGGAGAAAGTGAGACAAAGACAATATTTATCCATCGGACTCGCGCTCTCTTTCGAATCTAGTGAGAAAAACATTGCACATGTGTGGTTTATCAAAATAGTTATTTACGTACGTACACATAAATGGGATGAAGAGATACGATTAATGTTACACGAAATTTATTTAATATAAAAAATGGCTTATATTAGGAAATAGAAATAGAAATAATTTAAAATAATTAGTTTACAGACTTTGCGAATTATTAAAAAAGGAGAAGTCTAATTTATTTGGCCTGAACCCTGGATCTAGTCATACTAAATATTAAACATTACTAGCGAAATCACTAATGTCTTTGTTAAAAGTTTGATAGTTTTCCCATTGTGGTGAATGCCCAACGCCAGTGTAAACAGTCTTTTGTCCTTTTTTCGCAAGGTCTACAAACGATTGACTGTAGCTAGCTGGAACTATGAGATCTTGATCACCGATGAGAAATAATGTTTGAATATTTAAACTTTTAAAAGTGTTGCTAAAATCGGGAACTGCAATATAAAAAAAAAAATGTCAGTATATATTTTTATTAGGATATTGAGGTATACACATGTTTACTTACTGGGACTTGTCGAATGACGATAATAGGGACTCAATTGACCAATTTGACCAAGCAAATATTGAGAGAACTGATCGGACAGAGGTTTGGCAGTGAGAAAGGAAAAGCCTAGAGTATATGTATCAATGGCTGTTTGATAGACGTCCGATGGAGCGGTAGCATTAGTGAAAAATGGAATGTTGCCATTGTAAATTCCGGAAACCGATATAAATCCATCAACTTTCTTAGTTTTCATAGATCCAATGGAAACCAACGCTCCAAACGACGCACCAACTAAAACTATTTTATCGGATTTTACACTATCGATTACGGCATTAAGGTCTAAGACATGTAAGTCGGTACTATAGGCATTAAGGTCAGCTGGTTTATCGCTTCTACCGACTCCTCGATAATCATATCTAACAAGATGAAAATTCTGATTAAGCGATGAATCAGTAAATTGCACCTCCCAGCTAAGACGGTTTGACATTATCGGAGCGCAGAATAACAATGTGACTTTCGTTGGATCTCCTTTTTCTTCTACAAAAATCTTTGCACCATTTCCGCCAGTAACCGTATAACTCTTGGTTCCATCAGGTAAAATGGGGATAGTAACTTGAGCGATTGCTGTGACGATGAAAAGACTGAGGATGAAAAATTTAATCAAACTCATTTTGTGATGATAAATGTTTTTAAAAAAATGTGTGTGTGAATTATTTGTTTTGAGTTTTTTTTCAGAAAGGGGATAGTAATAATTCGCAGATATTTATAAAAAAAATAAAGACATTCGAATTATGTAATTAGAGATGGAAAACCGTTCGAATTATGTAATTGGAAGTGGAAAACCGTTCGAATTATGTAATTAAAGATCGAAAACAATTCGAATTATGTAATTAAGTATGGAAAAACATTCGAATTATGTAATTGGTGATGGGCAAAAAAGAATATATTATTTACCGAGGAAAACCAAAACATATTGTTTTTTTGTTACCATAATGTAAATGTGCAAAAATGTGTTGCTCTTTCACGTGACTGACTCATACATAGTGTAGTGTGGTGTGATTTTTCGTGAAATTCATTGGGACCTTTAATTTAAATTCAAATCAGATACTTCCCCGTGTAAACTTCCAGATAATTAATACTTAATTGATAGAGATTCCCGTGTCTGTGCAGACGGAAACCTTTCGACAATAACCGATCACAAATTAAAGTTTTCCGATTCCTCCGGAACATTGGTTTTCTTTTAGATGCGAGTCCTTGTAATTTCACATACAGCTGATTTGACGTTTTCCTCGCGGTAATACATGTTCATTCAATGTATCTATAAATTTTATTATTTTTTTTTTTTTTGTGACAATATGTGACGTTATGTAAAGATCGGGATATTATGTAATATTATGTAATTATACTTAAAAGGAAATTCTAATTAGTATTATATAAGTATATACACATGTTTATTTACTAGCTAGTATTGGCTAAGCTGCAGTGTATGATTCACAATCCATTATTAATGCATTTATGGTAAAATAGCTCCTTCCTAAAATAGTTGCATTATTTACCATGAAGTTAACGAAACATACTGTTAAGACCAACAATTTTTTTTTTTTTTTTTTTTTAGCTTTTTCGAATTTGTCTTCACCATCATCTGTTCGATCTAGGCAATTAATTGTGTCTTTCGTTATTGTCCATACAATACATCATAACATTGCGACTCAGCAAAATTTGAATGGGAATCGCGAAATTATCGTTTAATGATAGCATATTGTATATCCAAATTTGTACCATTTTTTCGAACCTTGGCATTCCCTAGTACCAAGTCCGAATGATAATCAGGTCAATCCTGGCCAAGAACTATGAATTCCCGGGTGTACTTTTATCAATAAAAACAAATATGCATGTTGACCTTTCCTAGTGTAGAATAGGATGCGATTGGGGTTTTAATTGATATGCAATTCTTAATTCAAAAATATGTTTATGGCTAATGCAATTTACATTGGCGCCTGTATCAATTGATGCCTCAATAGGGATATATTTTTTTAACTGCGCAATCCACAATCTTTTTTTTTTCTATGGCATATAGTATTCGAAATACTTCTATTCGCTGCTTGGGACGGATACCTTCTATTATTTCCAGATTCTTTCTTCGCACACATTACCTTGCCTAGATTCACATTGAGAATATTCTTTTCTGGTGGCCCATTATCCGAATCGGATTCTTCAGATGAATTGAACTCGGATGAATTATTTATGGATTTGTTGCCACAATCCCAATGTTTCATAACAAATATTTTGACTTATTTCTTTGTATATCTGATAACGATGAATACCCCTTTCGACACACGGTCGAAAGGATCTGTAAGTTCTATCTTGGATTTATTTTTATGCTCCATATATTTTTTGAAGTTCATCTCACAATAGGCATTTCCTATACACTTCGTACTCCATAAAATAAGGATGTCAACAATCGTAACAATTTTATTATAGATAAGCTTATTCCATGCATGAAATATCGCTATCCTTACCCCTTTGGAATAGTTATAACCATGTGTTTTGCGAGCAATTGTAAATCGCTTTACACTACACTTGAGCGATTATTTTTTTCTATAATACAGTACATTAACCAATTCTTCCAATCAGATGGAGTTGCACCTTTACAAATTAGTGAGATCCTAGTGATTTCATTCTTCCTATATGTCGTATTCAACAATTGGTTGTAAGAACGTTTAAAGACTACGTGATTTATACCATATTTAGAGCACTGGGTCTATTAGGTTTACTTGTTTATAGTATGAGAATGCACGATTCATTTTTGTGCAGATTAGGTTTTCGATGTTTTATTTGTTATACATTCTATGAGAATATAAGAGATACATTTGGTTGTAATCAAAATATTGGCATTTGCCTGATATCATTCACTCCCTTGTTCGTAATTGGAGAGAACAGAACGTAGAAAAAATAAAGCTTATACTGTATTGATATTTACATAAAATCCTGCCCTCTCGATACAATATGATAATGTCTTATTATACAAAGATGAGGGATATAACCCATAATAATAACTATATTCATGATATTTCTGAAAGCACCAAAACAACAATTAATAACTAGAAGCCAGGTCTTCGATCCTTAAACCTACTAAACCTCATTAATTCTATTTGTGGCATTATCCATCTTTTCTTTCGTCGATTAGTAAGCGCGATTGATCGTCAGTCAACATTATTAAATTTGTAACGCGCCTCAACCGCGACTCGACTAGGATACACATGTTTTTCATAGATTGCTTTTGCATTTATTTAGTGGATATATAGGAAAAGAATTACAGCGACTCCACCACGACTCAACTGTGGATTACATCGTCAACCTTTGGTATAACCAAAGAAATTGACCGTCAGATAATAACGGCATAACATCCTAGAGAAGTATGATTTTCATCACATCTCGGACCGAGCGATCAAAAATGAAAATTTTCATATACCACTTACATTTTGAATATTACGTCCGACAAGGGTAAGTGATCGACGAAAGGGATATTTATTTACTCGAAAATCGTTTGATGGATTCTGCAAAGTGTAAATCATATACAAGCACTTTGTGCTAAGTTATGCATGTGATATAGGACCCCGTATGCAATCACGGAAAAATGGTTTATAATCATTATACACAGTAATACATATCTTATCTTACGCTTTTACAATATTTACTGTATCTATATAACATTTGAGATAATGACTTTTTTCATCATAATGTTCGTCACTACCTCATGCTCCTTCTTCCAAGTCTTTTGGTAAGATAGTAATTGGTGATCGGGATTTGGTTGGTGTAGGTGGAGCATTTACCCGCGGTACAAATAAAGTCTTTTCCTCAAAAGGGTCAAAGTTCCGGTCAAATATCCGCGTGAATTGAGTATCCTTCTCTCATAAGTTCATCAAGTCATGTAGTACTAGAACCATTTTTTTTAGTATACCTTGACGTGATAACTCTTCACCAATCAGTCTATCACCACGGTAGGACGCATTTCTCTTTCCAACTCTTCTCCGAAACAACTCAGCTTTTGTAAGGTGGATAAATTATTTACTCACTAATTTTTAGTAATTTTTTTGATTCTTTCCATTATTCGCTTTATGTTACAGCGAAGTATATAGGGATTTTCTTGATTACAGTTTTCGAATTAATCCGATATTCGCTTTCGCTGGTGCAATAAAGTCCATCAGTAGTAATAACGAACATCATCAAGGAAGTAGTTAAAAATCAAGATATCAGGAATCAAAATAGTTAAACTAAAAATTCCTTATGCGTCGATACGATCCCATAAAGATGATCTTAGTCATCTTTCCCAAAAGCTTACTCTCAAGTTGCATAATATTCTGAAGATAACCAGTCTTGATATTGCGCAGTTTACCTTCAACGATAGACATGGGATCTTCTTTTCCTTTGATTGCGTAGTCGACACAACAATAGCGTTTTTCTTCCTCGGTGATTCTCCGAATGACGGCAAGCGACGCGTGTAGAATGGACGATATAAATTCACAGCGAGTCGCATCGTTGGCATCGGTCATCATCTCAATATTCGTTAGTAATAGTAATTATGTCTGTCATACAGTGCTTGAATGCTTCGTCGTTATCATTAAACTGTCACTAAAAGTTAGCATATAGCCTATATTCAGATTGTGGCGCATAAAAATAGAATGAATTGCTTGATACACATAATACCCTCACCGTTAACTTTATACTTGCAAAGAACTTCTTTTAGCCCATCCAATGATTTTTAGAAGCCTCGATAAATATACAAGAATAGTTGCTGGTCCACCCTTCAAACCAATGCCAAATTCTTCTTTAGTAGTCTTAAAAAATGCACGACCAGAAAATGCGTCTCGTTAAGCTTCAGATTTCGCCTCCGCAAATAGTCAACAAGCTCTTCCGTAACCAAATCTTGATTGAACTGCCATCGTACGTGTTAATTTTTCTTCGTCTGGGAAATACGAAGGTGAGGAGGGTGAAGAGATTTATTATATTGGTATATTGCGTAAAAAATCTAAATATATGCACTGCGGTTTGAAGTAGAATTTTCGTATTTTGGGTGAATCGACCTTATATATTAGTTTGTTTTGCGAAAAGCTACACTAGAGGTCAAAAGGTATAGATCTCTTTGATTACGGAGATTTCGAAACTCCATAATTGGCAATTTCCGGTAATATGCTGACAGGAATAGGTAGGCCTTTGAACCTTATTACTTTTTTTTCGAGTTTATTCTTATTACTAAAGTACTGTACAGTAAATGTAATGAGAGATGATTGCAAGCGGAAAAAAAAAATGGGGATAATCTATGTTGTACCAACCTCTACACATGACATCGCTCGTGAGCTAAACTTTGATGGGTTATTTAAAATCATTATTTATTCTAGAATTTCACAATCACCATACAGTATACTGTAAATATGCCGTAATCTTCTAGTGGATTTTGTTTGTTTTATCCTATACAGTATATAAAGTATGTGATACCTGTAACTTTGGTTGATCATCTTTTCCTTTCCTCGAATATTTTACGGGGAAGCAAATTCTTGACATGAGACTGTTAGCCTTTATCATAATTTTTCATGAATTTTCACACACTACGCTAAAGCACTTTGCATGAACCCTTGCTATTTCTTGCATAAGATTATACAAATTAGTACTGGTTTTTTTAATTGTTTATGGATTAATTCGTAATTTCATTATGATCTTAATTTTACATATATAATGCGTTTTCTTTTGTTTATCATCTAACTTATCTTGAATAATCAACGTTGTTCCATGACAGTTTCTATGAGAAGCAGCCAACTATTTTTTTTTATGATTTTAGGATTGAATCTACGGATTCTGGCAATAACAACAGGCATAAAATATATCATAAATGTTTTTTTTTTAAAAAAAATTTTTTTTATAATATTACAAATTCACTAATTAAATTTATTGTCAATAACAATAATTTATTTTATGATTTTAAAAATAATTATATTCGATTAAAAGAAATGATTAAGGGTTTGTGGGTTTTATAACTTAAATTATATCTTAATTAAAATAAGATCATTGGATTTTTCAGATTTTATAACTTTTTTCATTTTTAAAAAATGTTTTTATAATTTTATATTTGTTAATTTGCTAAAAATATATATTGTAAAAAATTATCAATTAGTTTAACTATGAATATACTGTATTTATAAATTAATGTTTATTTTATATACTGTACAATAATAATAAATTGTTTGATAAATTATTTGATGATTTATTTTAGTTTAAATTTCGCAATTTTCGAGTAAATTTAATGCCAAAAAATTGTTTTTTAAAATATCATTTTTAATCTACATTTTATAATTGAGCATCAGTATTATGATTACGTTCTATTTCATAGTTATAGCGACTTTCTACCGATTTAACAGCAATGCGCATAACTATATTTTCTAAAGTATCTAGCTGATATAATTCTAAACTGTTCGTTATCTAAGCAGATGCCATTGTTATTTTTTTATGATTTCGAATACTTCGTAATCCAATATCGAAAAGTTACCATCTTTTTCTCGAATGTGTCTTTCATAATTATTTGATCTATCGCACCTATTTGTACAATATTTAGTAAAATCATTTACTTCTGTTCTCATATATAATGCGTTACCAAAATAAATACCATGGGTTCTTTGATATTTAGTATTACAGTAATAAATAGCTCGTTTAGGATCTATCACCCTGCTAAGAATTGAATTCCGAATGCTACCGTTTTTTAACGAAAAAATAAAACTATCTTTTGTTTCCATCCAAGTTCCAGAAATATATATACCATCTGTAGTAACGGTTTTAATCCATTCCATAGGATTGTATCCACCAAGAATTTCATTAGTTTCAGCCACCTTTATGATAACTACTGTGTTTGAATGGCCATGACACATATCCCAGAAGGTTTGTGGAGCAAAACCATCGCGACTTCCTCTTAAAATTAATTGAAATTCGTACGGAATTTTTCCTTCTAAATATGTTGTTTCTTTGCGATCGATCCAGGACGAAATTTCGGCGATATGTTCTTTAGTAATTATAGTGGAAGGTGTATTAATATCTTGATCAGATAGTTCTCTGGCTTTTCTTGGTGGCAAAATAGTTGAGTTAACTGGCTCACCGGGAAGCATCAAATGTTGTTTCAAATCACTCCAGAGATTTTTATCAAGAATTTTCTTGTACGGCTTAACCCTCTTTAAAAGTTCTTCGGCAGAGAATTGAAAGTAACGAATATGAGGTAAGCAATGTTGCAAAG